ATGGTCTGATTGTATATTTTTAGTTATATACAAATTTTGCAAATCTTTGTGAATCATCCCCTCTCGCGAGCACCTCGATGTTGTCTCGCAGGTCCAACGCCTTCATAGCCTCCGGCCACCTGCAGCAACCCCAGGGTTGGCGTTGTGTCCCAGGCTGCGGGACAGCCCTGCTCCGGCAGCCTCGCCTAGCAGCTCTGGCACACGTGCAGGACGCGTCCCTGCTGTTCCCGTGCGACCATGAAGTTGTGGAGGATGCCCCCTTCCATTGTGGAGATGGTTTCTATTGCGCTAGAGGGAGTTTCATTTGTCGCCGAAAAATTCTCAATCCTTTAGTACAACTGCGGCTCTCTTCAATCATCCATTATTCAGGTTTATGGAACTACAGTTCTTTACTGAGTAGCGAGCACTTCTTTTCTCAATGCTCTTTTTCCAGTTAGTGACATACTGTCAGCGATCATTTGGTGCTGATGTTTCAACCTTGCCCCTAATTTATCCCTTGATTTTCTCTTCCAGTGTATGAGATCTTGGGTGAGTGCTACTATGATAGAAGATGCGTAAATAATGTTTTAGTAATGGATGTTGGTTGCCTTTGTGAGAAGCTCTCAGGTAAAAAATAGATGCAAGATGATTGTTTTGAAGTACCAATGCACATTGCAATACACGTATCTACTTTAAATTCGTTAGGGACAACTAGATGCATGTGTATCATTCTTTCAAGGTTTCTGGTTTGATGAAATATAAGCTTTGTACATTGGGTACATTATGTAGACTGTATTAAGTTCAGGAAGTAAAGTAACTTATTAGCTCACAGAGTTCCGGTCTGGACCGAGACCATATGTTCCTGCCATGAACAGTTAAATCCAGAAAATATCAAAATATTCAGAAAATTATGAGTTTTTTCTAACGGACAGACATCTTCTGGTTTTCCCTTTGTTTGGTCCAGTACCCTGTACTCCAAAACAATCAGATGTCCCATCTGTTGAGCAGACTTGAAAATCAGAGGGTTACTGAAGTATTGGAGTAAACTGAATAGGGAGCCACACCCATTACTGGATGGGTCGGAAGCAATTTGTTCAAATTTCTGGAGTACTCAATTTTCTATGATATGCCTGTGCTCTTGTATCGTGCTAACGAAAGCTATTTTGCCGTTGTGGTATTTGGTTACACATCCAGCCCAGCTATTAGATTGTTATAGGCTATTTGTTTCTCTATTTTTGGTTGTGCTTCCTGATTGACAGTATATGTTCTGCTGCAGGCTGTGTACAAGGAAACAGTATGGTCGTATCCCTTGGTGGTTATCCTTGCAGGTGCTTATGTATTGATCAATCGATTTTAGATTATTGTTGATCGTGATGGTTCATGGACCTGAGTACCTGGCACTGACCCCCTTCCATGTGATGCAGCAGGCATGAGCACGGGGACAAAAACTAATTGCAGGCCAGGGAGGTTAGTATAAGGCAAGCTGTTTAAATTTCCATGATGCAACACCCATCAAGTATTCAGTTGGGATTTCAAAACCGGGATAACTAAATACTGGGAGATGATAGACAATTTTCCAGGTAACTCTTGTGATTTTTGAATGTAGGACCTGAATAGTTGATGTGTGTAGCAGAAGAATGCAGAGCGACTAATTATTTGAGATAATTTTTTAACCTCAGATAGGATAATGTGGGATATTATTGGTTCATCATGTCTGCACTAAGAAGGCAATGAACATGAACCAAATAATTGATCCGACTTAATTTTGTTTGTTTGCTCTATGTATGGTAACACGTCTCTGTCATGCTTATTCTTAACTGCCACATTTATGGACAAGAACTCATTAGTTAGTTTAGTTCCTCTTTTCTGTTCTACACTTATAGCATTAAGGGCATCGTGCGATAGTTAGCAGGTTCTTTTTGTGGTTGGTCAGGACATCCTGCTACATAGTTCGACCATTTTATTTAGTATAATTGAGAAACACGTCACTTGATTTTTCTTTCAAGTTACATTGATGAGACAATAGATTGGCTATATAGTGTAAGTTTGTAGCATGACTGTGAGGTCTATTGCCCCCTAAAGTTTCATATATTGCATTACCTCAGTTCTTTTAATGATGTTTAGATAGATTGATTTTCGTTCATTCATTATGCATTGCAATGTTAACTTCCTCACTACCCATTAATTTCCAATGTTCATATGTGAAGACATGCTCATATGCACTTCTACGTCTCACATGGTTAACCCTTTTTTGGAATAGAAAGGCAGGATGGATATTGTTTCAGTGTAGGTATTCTTTAGTCTTCAGTGTCAATTGCCCGACCCTTGAGCTCATTATCTCCCATTCGTTCAAGACAACAAGATAAAGAAATAGCATGTCATGTGCATCCATTGAGAATAGTTCTGAATTAGCCTACTGAAAACTATTGTAGTATATAGTTTGAGGAGGAACAATGTATTGTGAAAATTAGTGATTTTTCACTAATAGGACGGTTACTAATTTGGAGTGTAATTTCACTCATTTATGTAGTAACTCTGATCCTACTATGCTGCTACATGTGGTCTGGAACAAAAAAAATTGTTATGAAGCACATGGATTATAGAGGTGGTAATAATGAAGTATCCTTATAAGGTGTTTGGTTCACACTTCTGTAACGTAGCGTCGTAGCCTAAGTTTTGAATTGTTTTGCAGCTCTGCCTTGGTTGTTACTCACCTTCACTCCACTCTCCATTAGCCATGTCACATTGGCTAGCGTTGTAGAGAGGTCGCCTAGAGATGATCTCAAATTGCTCACATGCCGGAACATTGATGAGAAAAATCAACTGTGCTCCTCTATCTACTGTCCGACACCTCCACCTTACATAATCCTAGGCCTCATGCAAAATGAATGTATGTTCTTGAGATCCTGCCTAAAATATGGCAGAGGGACTTCAGAAAGGTTGCCCATGTATAATACAGTAAAGCTGGCATATTCAGTGATCAAGTGGTGGTATATTGAATTATAATCTGACATGTTATCTTGAGTAGACCGTCATCATGCAGATTCGTGTTTTACTGAATACCCTGTACTGAAATATTCACATGCTATGTTGCTTTCTAAACTAAGTGCTACATTTGTTTAGCGTAGTATATGCTGATTAAGTGCTAAACCACAACAAAGTCATGTGCAAGAATTTGCACGAGCTTTAAATCATATCATCACCGGTGTCATCTCGCTGGCGGCCGCACTAGAATAGTATAAGATGGCAATGGTTGTAACATGCCTGGTCTTGGTATGAGATAGCAATGTGTACATCTTTCTTTGTAAATATATATTGACTACAGCGTTTAATCTTATTAGTAAATTGCCAGTGCGTACATCCTTTTGTGGAAGATGCATCACATAGGGTGAGAATAAATGTATCCTTTCCAGTTTGCTTCTATGTGTTACTTCTTATATGCAACAAAGTTTTAAGATGTAATGTCTTTTTTCCGTTTGGAAAGCTGATTATCGTACAATGCAAATGAATGAAATATAAACCCTCTTTGAGGGTATATAGTTGACAATCCACATAGTACTTATTTAAAATTCACTGCATATAACAAAGACACCATCTATAAGCATTACATATTGCCGGGGTGCGGCGTGCCGCCGCACGGGTATAGCTAGTATACATTATTACCTTTTGAAGCTCATCTCATTGATGATCCATAGCAATATGCTTGCGGAAGTTATAACCATGCTCATTTTTATCCATGTGATCTAAAAGCATCTGAGTGATTCATTTTGGCCTTTGATTTGTGGGCACAATAACATTGTTCACAACACATAGAAACACAATGAGTCGTAGTTGGCAGGCACAAGCATTGCTTGCATCTCTCCAAAACCAGTCCTAGCTAAGTCATAACCCCCACAAGCCTCTTTATAGTGCTCACTGTGACCTCATACAATGATCATCCAGGACATGCCCTTTGCTAGGAAAACCCATCAAATGATTGAGTAAGCGCTAGTTGAAAGACTGCCCATTAGGCTATTACACACTTATATTCTGTAGTAGTCAAAACATATTAAATATATTTTATACACCTCTTTGAGGAGAATAATTACATCTTTGTTCTAGATGGAGCTAATTAGGCTTATGCCTACCATACCAATTGATCATTAAGGAAGAAGCTTCTCTTATGTGTATCACCATGATCAGATGGCATCATACGCACAAAACTCATTCTATCAACTATGCTAGCAAAGGTTCTAATTCTTCGGTAAACTAAATTCATCATAGTCATCTAGGGATAGGAACACCTCATCTAAGCATGAAAATTCCATGTCATCCTTGTGTGGAAGATCACTTGCGAATCATAGCTTGGCTCAAACACCCGGCATTACCACCCAATTTCTGCATCCATGCATGTTGGCACGTTTGTCATGCATATATTATGATGCTAAATGCATAGTTTAACAAAATGCTAGATACAATAACATGTACTCACATTGTCTGGGTTGCCTTTCTTCTTGCGAGGCCACTTGTGTGAACTACCTGAGGTGCTCTTACTATACCCCCATTCACGTAAGTAAGTGGTACTCATGCATCACCCAGGTTATTTTGGTCGCCTGAAAGGGCTCCCCAATGGAGAAGATGAACGTCTTCTTCAGACCGACATTAAAACCGCCACTACTGACTGCCCCATCAGTACCGATGGGACTCCAGTACCATTTCGTGAGGTCCTACTATGTGCTGCATGGCTGATTATGTTATACAGTATGTGTTTGTTTAATTAGTGATATAGGGATTGTGTATGCTGATCCGAAACTAGCTCAAGTTTATACTGAACTGTCAATTCTAACACCCACTCATCGAAACAATGAACCGAGAGACACCAAAAGCAACATTGGCAGAATCTTTGATTCATCACGGCAGCAGCCGCACAAGAAAAATATGCCATCACGACTAAATTCAAGTGATATTGAAAAACATATCCTTTCTATCATAATGATATATGACAATGAAAAATTCTGAATTACTATTAGTGGACAATGGCTTCACTCTTGACTCTTGAGGAAGACATCCGTCAGCACGGTCTTGGACTGGAGGGAAGCAGCGAGTATCCTCAGCGCCTACAAAATTCCAACGCATGCAGGGGAAAATAAAATCAATCACCAGCAGTTCAAAAGTCCTAGTCAGAAACCGAAGGACGCCACGTACATACCTCTTCCTTGCCGATCTTCACGGTTTTCTCCTGCAGCGTGCTGAGGTCCTCGCCACCAAATTGTGCGAACTGCGCGATGCCCAGAAGCGACATGGTCGTGAAAAAAGAAGCCGGAGTCACCGAGAGGTCGTCCCCGACAGTGTACGTGGCCGTGGGTAGCGACGGCGTCGTGGATGTTCCCGCGGCGGCAGCATTGTACGTGGAACTGGTGCAATGGCAGCAGGTTCGGCCGTTGATGAGGTGCGCGCTCAGCAGCTGCTGCAGGCGGGAGAGCGCGGCGGGGGTGACGGCCGGGCTGAGGCGCCGCTCCTTGCCCTTGTAGCCGGCGTCCATCTTCTCCACGCTGCCGAGGACGTTGCCGATGCTGCCGACCATGCGCTCCTTGGTCAGCAGGTCGACGACGGTGCCCAGCGGCAGGGACAGGAGGCCGGTGAGGAACTCCACGACGTCGCTTCCGGCCTCGGCGAACCGCACCTTCTGAGTCTTGGTGTCGATCACGAGCTTGATCGGTAACCCCGCCGCCAAAGTCGCTGCGGCTGCCCCCTGTGCAGCTATCTCGTCATCGTCATCCTCATCCTCCGATCCCCACTCCGGCGCACTAGCATCATCCGATTCCGACGACATCGCCGCCCGCTGGCGGCGAGGCATTTTAAGTCACGGCGCAGGCGCTCAGCGGCGGTGTGCAAAGGTGAAGGTCGAGGAGAGAGCAGTCGATCAGGGAGCGGCGGCGGCTAGCTAGGGTTTAGATGGTGCGGATGCAGATGAGCACGCGCACGAATTTATCCTAGGCGTCAGACTACCATGATATGCACCCATCAGACCTGTCATACGCCATCGGATTGGAAGTAATATGGACGTCCGATGTGTTGTGTGCGCGCGTGGTGATGCCTAGGCATGCAGCTTGTTTGGATAGACACTAGTAACAGCGATTTTCTTTCCATAACTGCTTGCGTAAATCACATCTTCTACAGTAATTTGTTACCATATTTCATGGGATTAGCTCCGATGGTTAGCAGGCGGTCCTCTTCCTTGGGAAGCAAATATTGTTCCATTATTATTTAGAAGATTGGCTTCCTTAACAAAAAAATAGTTTCCAATGGATAAATACGTTGCTTTCATGGTGAATTAAACTGCTTGCATCTACAGGTGAATTGGCTTCCACGGTGAATTAAACTTGCTATAGTGTCGAGGCAGATGAGCACGAGGCGGATTGGATCCGGTCGTGTCGGGTGGAGACTGGTGGAAGCCGTGCGTGTCGGATGTGGATGGGTGGGATCTGTGTCGGATGTGGATGAGTGAGCTTATGTGGTGATGTGGCATACAAGTTAGGAAAGTATAGACACCCAAAGACGTAGGTGATCGTAGTGTGGATGCTGGCCATATACAAGAAAGTATGGTGCCGTGTGACGAATAGAGGCGGAAGCGGTGTGTGGCGGTGTGAAGGGCCTTAACCCAAAAGGAGGTGTGTTTTTCAAAACATCGAAGGGGAGGTGTTAGGTTGGCTTGAAGAAGAAGAGTACGAGCGATATCATTTGTGGTGTGAATCATGCTTTCGCCCCTCCCATTTTGTGGTGAGGTATGTGGACAAGAGAAGCCATAAGTGATGCCATGAGTAGACAAAAAGTCACGTAAGGAGCCATTAATAAACTCACCACCATTTTCATATTGCATGCTTTTAATAAGAACATGAAACTGGTTTTGGACAAGCGAAAAAAGCGACGTAGGGTGAGAGAGGTGTCCAATTGGAGCGTAGGGGAAACGACCATGAAAAATGTGTGTAATCATCAAGAATTATTAAATAGTACTGGTAGCTGAAAAAACTTACAACGGGTGAAGTCCAAAGGTCACAATGAATAAGCTGAAACGCGACAGTAGTAAAACAATGGGATGAAGGAAAAGCTAAGCGACACCTCTACTATGGGAGGCGTGGAAAACGGCTAGTGTCTCCATGACACCAAAGAATAGTCGGTATTCACTGATTTCACTCCGTTGGATTTTTGTATGAGACGCTTCTTTCATTGCGGGTCATTTGACTAAAGAATTGATTATAGGCTAGCAAACATATTTGATTCTAATCTGCAAAAACAGAGATGGGGCAAACCACCAGGTGTTGTGTGATCTACTGACCCAATACAAGAAATGGGTGAAAAATATAATATGAACGACAATGAGAACAAGATAATATAGTGATGATCTTTTTCTTGAATTGTCCTTGTTGAGAGAGACTTGAGAAAATTTGATGGACAAGCGCATGTATGAACGTTACCATATTGAACTAATTTTTCTTTTAAATATGTGAATTGTTGATCAATAAATTCCTGTATTGTCCTATATATGGGCGTGTATTGCTAGTTTTTAGCAAAGTTTGTGCCATTTTTTGTGTGCGTCGACCCTCAATCCAGCTTGTGAGCTTCAACTAGCCAGCTTGTCAAGCCTCACGAGCTTGGTCAGAGGCTTGCGCTTGGCTTGTTGGACCTTCGAGCCGGGCCGAGCCCGAGCCAAACCCAGCTGTGCCTCGAAAGCCTTGAGCCCCAAGCTTTCTGTCCAGCCCTACTTGCAAGGGTCTTGCCCATCTTCTTTGCCGGGTGCAAGGTCGCCACATGGACAGCCCCCTTGTTGTCACCTGCAAGAAACGCATATAATCAAACACCAAAGCCGCGTAGATTACGATGGAGACGCCACAAACTTGGCATTTCACACCTGTCTTCTGGCTCGGCGGTGTTGCGACCTTTGCCTTCTTATTGGAAGCATGCATCTTGAACGCACTTTCAGCTGCTCTCCTCTTCCTTGTCCCTGGCTTCTGCATAGATGGTGTTTGTGTCAGGTATCATTAGGAGAAAAAAAATGTAACAGGGGGAAGCACATCAAGCACAAACCTTGGGTCTATCATCTTCCTCTTTTCTGAGACATGAATTTTTCTTGTCAGGAACCGCCAAAGGATCTTCACTAGCTGCTGCCTCCATTAGCTTGAGATGTGACATAGCATCATTTTTCAAATCAGGAGCTGCCAAAAAAATTTCGGTGAATCTCAGTATATCTTGTTTGCTATACTCGCCATAGTTTGGTATAATTTCCTGTGCCAAACAAAGAAAACATGTCTTGTTCGTCAATAACCACTTAATTATCACTTGAATTATCGTTTGCAGCAACTCCACTAACCTCGGAGAAATGGAGACGGTCTGCAATAGCTTTTGCAAACTCGAGGTCAGACATGTGACGCCCATAAAAGCAGTCATTAAATTTATGGTGCAAGAACACAAAGAGACTATCTGAAGTTAATTCTAGTATGTACATGTAACCAATAGTGGTTATAAACTCTCTGTCAATCTGAAATCGATAAGATAAAAGGAGATATAAGCACCGCAGGTTAAGACATGTGATGCTAACCTATTAAAAACATCAACCCTTAAATTTCACATAGATAGCTTGATTAGACAATTTGTAATAAAAAATGTGGATTGTTTTTCTAGGAAACCTTCCGAGACTAAAAAAGAGTATTGACATCCTTCCTACATATATGTTACAAATAATCATCAATCAGTAAATATGCTTTTGCAAGGTCAACAAAAAATATGTAACAAATGTAGAAAATTTATGAGCAAGCTATATGCACCGATACAAATTAACATCAACGTAGAGTAGTAGACATAGTGCAGAAACCAAGGATCAACCTTCTTTGCACATTTCAGCTTGGTTCTCATATATCTTGTGCAACGACAACTTTTTTTTAAATAATAAACTCCCAAGTTACATTAATATCAATGCAATCAAAATGAATTAAGGAGGTTGACAACATCGCCATGAACTCCCAAGTGACATTAATTATCAATGCAATTAAAATATATTAAGGGTCATGATAATTAATTCATATCTGAACATGATATATTAGTTGCTTTTGAAATGAATTAACCAAAAAATTCGCAAATGCGTGTATTACCAGGCTGGGAGGTTAGTCGGATTTTTTGTTCATGCTTAATGCCATTACCTCCACTAATGTATGCACAGAAACGGACTCTCTAGGAATTGAAAGGAACGTCACAAATAATGGTTAATTTCTTTTAGGCGTGTGTCGGTTATTATCATGCTTTCAATAACCAAAGTGATGCATAACAGTGAAACACCCCTAAATCACTGCAGTTTGTAAGTGGGCTCAGTAACAATGAAACACGAGAACAACACATAGATTAACTTTACTGCATGCAGTATGTGTGTGGGGGTAGAAAAGAACGTCAGTCTTATGGATAATTTGTTCCTTCGAAGGCAAGGGGCTTATGTTACGTGGTGAACTCGTGATCTTGTCTGTGAAGTTCTATTAATGGATCTTGTGTGTGAAGTTGTTACAGGGGTACATGAAAACCCTACTAAAGTTTTCAGAAGTTGATTCGCTTAAGGAAGGTAATAACTGTGGATCGTTGTCACTTTAAAAGGACTAGTATTTTATTACCCTCATGTTTATTTCTTAGTTTAGTTCATTCACTATCTATAGGTGTAATCTACAGTCTCTAACTTTGTGTTTGCTTATCTAAACCTTTAATTACAGTTATAGATACAGCAATGCAACACACAATAGCAGTCGAGAGTGGTTTTTCTATACCCCAGGTAGATGCACCCCCGCTACACCCACGATCGACAGTAAGTAGTGGCTACACCCAAGTTCGATGGACCCACATGATGAATAGTAATAAAATCAAAACAAATATTAAACAAAAATCTGAATCTTCGTAGCATTGACTATGAACAAATGTTTTAGGTGCTTGCAATGTTTGGTGCTCAAATAACATCAAATGATCTCTGTACAAATGAAATATAAATTCTTTTCAAACAGTGCACATATGTTTGAGCATAATTTTCTTTTGTACAGAGTTCCTCGGATGTTATTTGGCCGCCATATTTTGCAAGCACCTAAAACATTTGGCCAAAATCGAAACTACAAATTTTCAGATTTATTTTTTGATTTGTTTTGCTATGTTTCCGATTGTAGGTGTAGCGGAGGTGCATCTACCTGACATATTGAAAAATCACTCTAAAAAATTGCAACTTCGATTATGACCAAATGTTTTAGGTGCTTGCAAAATTTGGTGGCCAAGTGACATCCGAAGAGATCTATACAAAACAAAACAAAATGTGCTCAAACACATGTGCATTGTTTGACCAGATTTTGTATTTTGTTTGTATGGAGAGCATTTGATGTTATTTGGCCATCAAGCTTTGCAAGCACCTAAAACATTTGCTCATAATCAATGCCACGAAGTTTCAGTTTTTTTTTACAGTTCATCATGAGGTGCACCGGACTTGGGTGTAGCCACTATTTTCCCATAGCAGTATGTATAGTAGCAAGGGGAGAAAACTTACCGTTCGTGGTGAGACACTGAATCCACATGCTTTTACCTTCTTCTCCAATTCCTTGCTCAGCGGAAGATGATATTCATTAGTTAGATTGTCCTTTTCTTCAGGTACAAATTCACCCAGGACATACTTTAGTCTCCACGTCATCTCACGAACAATGCGTGCATCAAGCCAACAAATGAGTTTCTGAAGAAGAAACAAATATAACAATATAATATAATAAGGTAAATATTAATCACTACCATTAGTAGAAAAAGGGCCTTTAGTCCCGGTTCATAAGGGTCTTTAGTCCCGGTTCTGGAACCGGGACTAAAGGGTCGGTACTAAAGCCTCCCCCTTTAGTCTCGGTTCTAACTGGAACCGGGAGTAAAGGCCCTCCACGTGGCCGCTGCCTGGAGGTCCACCTTTAGTCCCGATTGGTAACACCAACCGGTACTAAAGGAAATTTTATGATTTTTTTTGAATTTTTTTTTAATTTTAAATTTCTGAATTATTTTAACCTCTAATCTCTAATCACGCCTCATCACTGCTCAATTTAACCTTTAATCTCTAATCACCCCTCATAATTCCAAATCATCTAACTTCCCGAACGGTCACCCATCCTCTCACTACTCCAGCCTGAGCACGCTTAACTTCCGGGTTCTATTCTCCCTCGTTTCCAAGTCTGCACTTATTGTTTCCTGACAATATTAAGATGTCAATCCTATTAACCCTCAGGAATTTAGTTTGAGCATGAAGTCACACATTTCACTGTTTGAGTTTGAAACTATTGTTCTAAAAATCAATAATTATTTAGTAACACTAATATTTCTTGAATAAGTAGTTTGACCACAGTTTGACCATAGTTGACCAAAATTCAAAAAAACCGAAATAATTATTTAGTAACACTAATATTCTTGAATAATTATTTAGTAACACTAATACTTCTTGAATAAGTAGTTTGACCAGATTTAACAAAAATTCCAAAAAAAACTGAAATTTGAGCATAATTTTTTTTCCTTTTAGAATTTGAGGATTCTAAAAATTTGCAAACAGGCCGTAGGCGGTCTCCATCGGATGCGGATTTTCGTTCCGGACATTTTGATATATTATATGTTTTTTCCGACATCGTATGCAAAAGTTATAGCCGTTTTACATTTTCCCTACATTTTTTGCAAAACATGTCCAAATTTAAGTTTTTAAATTTTCCTAACTAGTAGATGTAGTAATATAACTACCTCTCGAAGGATTTTATTTTTTGAAGTTTTTATCATTTTCTTTTGATTTTTTCAAAACAAAAAAGGCGATCCACAGGGGGGTAGAGTTTGAAAATGGGACCTTTAGTCCCGGTTTGAGACACAAACCGGGACTAAAGGGCATCGCACCCTTTAGTCCCGGTTCGTGTCTCAAACCGGGACTAAAGGTCTAATCTTTAGTCCTGGTTTGAGACACAAACCGGGACTAAAGGGCATCGCACCCTTTAGTCTCGGTTCGTGTCTCAAATCGAGACTAAAGGGCTCAGGTGAACCGGGACTAAAGCCTTAGCCGCACGAAACGGGACCAATGCTCATATTAGTCCCGGTTCATGATTGAACCGGGACTAATGTGAATATTGCCCCGTGACCAAAGCCCTGTTTTCTACTAGTGTACACTAAAATAAAAGAATTAAGGAAATACAACAATAGAGTAGATTAGGGTAAACATTAACTCACAAGTTTGTTCTCAAAAACATACTTAAGTTGTGCGTCCGGAACGATCAACGGTCGTATAAAATTGAATTTTGGGATGAGATTTTCCAGATCCTTACCGGGACCAACAACACTATCCCAGGCAATAGATTTGTTATCAACCTTAATGAAACCAAGGGTGGAGATAGCCTGCAAATAGGATGGTGTGGAACACATCTATTAAAGGATTGGAACGCAACATATGTACAGTAAAACTGTAAAAGAGCACAAAATAATAAAGGCCCAACACTGTCCAAAAACTAGAATAAACTACCTAAATTTCAGATGAACTAAAATGTATGATACCGAGAACATAAATGAACAAATATGCATTGAAATAAGTAATTTCAGGTGGTCAACCCATCAAAATGTTAAAGGCTTGTAGACGGCAACATGTACTCTAAAAGAGCACAAAACAGGAAATGCCCAACAATAGTCCAAAAACTAGAATAAACAACCTAAAAGTTAAGAGATTGAGAACTAAAAAAACAATTTAGCACTGAAAGAAGTAAATTCAGGAGCTATACTGTACATCGTGTGCATCACTTAGACGAGTAAACGATGCCCCACTAGTAGAAAACGGAGCTTTAAGACCGGTTCGTAAGGGCCTTTAGTGCCGGTTCCATAACCGGCACTAATTGGTGGGCACTAAAGGCCCTCCCTTTAGTACCGGTTCGGCACGAACCGGCGCTAAAGTGCCACCACGTGGCGTGAGCTCGCGCCCTGGTATGGGGGACCTTTAGTACCGGTTGGTACTAAAGGTTTTTTTTGAAATTTTTTTTTGAATTTTTTGGAAAAAAAATTGATTATTTTTTTTCGATTTTTAATTTTTCTGAATTATTTGGTGATTTAGTCTCTAATCACCTCTCTTAACTGCTCAAGTGTGGATCACTCATTCCAAATCATCTAACGTCCCGACCGGTCACCCATCCCTCTCACTACTCCAGCCCGAGCACACTTAACTTTCGGGTTCTATTCTCCTTCGTTTCCAAGACTGCACTTGTTGTTTTCCTGACAATAGTAAGATGCCAATCCTATTAACCCTCAGGAGTTTAGCTTGAGCATGAAGTCACACATTTCACTGTTTGAGTTTGAAACTATTATTCTAAAAAACAGTAATTATTTAGTAACACTAATATTTCTTGAATAAATTTGACCATAGTTTGACCACAGTTTGACCATAGTTTGACCATAGTTTGACCAGATTTGACCAAAATTCAAAAATTGAAATAATTATTTAGTAACACTAATATTCTTGAATAATTATGTAGTAACATTAATACTTCTTGAATAAGTAGTTTGACCAGATTTAACAAAAAAAATTAAAAAAACTGAAATTTGACCATATCTTTTTTTCCTTTTGAAATTTGAGGATATTGAAAAATTGCAAACAGGCCGTAGGCAGTCTCCATCGGATGCAGATTTTCGTGCTGAATTTTTTGATATATTATACGTTTTTTTCCGACATTGTATGCAAAAGTTATAGCTGTTTTATATTTTCCCTACATTTTTTGCAAAACATGTCCAAATTTAAGTTTTCAAAATTTCCTAACTAGTAGATGTAGTAATATAACTACCTCTCGAAGGATTTTATTTTTTGAATTTTTTATCATTTTCTTTTG